ATGACGTGTCCTGGTTGGAGGTCGTGTCGCAAGGGACGACGATTGAAACGTAGAGGCAGATGAACGGTTTTTCTCACCTCCATGGCATGCTTTGCACACCAAATAAAGTGCCGCAAATATTTTTCTTGGCGTTATCTTTTCAAGACGAGTTTCGGAAGCAGGTGAAATGCACCGTCATTCATTTACACCAGCAGTTTTTACCGCAGCTGTGATTGATGTGCACTATTTAGGAATCTGAAAAAACTCGACACGACGAGAAAAAAAATTTGCGTTTGCAGCTTTGCAGCATTCGGCTAAAGGGGGCACTCTGCTAGTTTGCAGGTATCTTTTACTATTCCCGTAAATTACACGTCTCAACTTGGTGAAACCTGTAAACTCCTGTCAAGTATAAACGAAACGTATAACTATTGCATGACTATTGCATAGCTTTGTACGAGTTTACAGGTCCCCACATGAGAGTTCCACTATCATCGGTGGGAGCAAGCAGAATGTTCCCACCAAGCTAAGCCGTGCCGGGGACTTTGTAGCCAGCGCTAATCCAGGCCACACGGATGCGCCACGCATCCCGCTGAAGCTTCACCGTAGGGACATCTGGATTCGCTTCGGGTCTATACGAAGGTTTTTGACGGCGAAGTTGTTTTCAGCAGACTATAGATTTCTACGATTTCCGGCAATCCGTGCTGCTACCGGTTGAAGGCATATTGTTAGACTAGCACTACCAGGGGGGGAGGAGAACCCTTACCTGTTCAAGATGGATACAAGAAGGGAAATAGGCTGGCGCTGAGCTTCTTGACAGTGTACGAAGAAAGCCTTGAATTTCGGGCTCCTGAACATTGCTGACATCTCCGCCCACCCAGGCAGGACATAGACGCATTTGCGCTACTTGTCTGCGCGCTCTCACCGGGGCAGTGTTTGGAATCGTTCGGAAGTGGTTGTCAACCTGTTCGGGAGAGAAGAGTATAGACAATAGACGAATATAGCGAAATTCCCGCTAGAAACTCAGAAGATACCCCCCCCCCACTTCACGCCGATGTAAACACAGTTGGCCGTGAAGGTGCTTGATCGATTATTTTAGAGCTTTTGCAATATGGTAGTATTCTATTCGGTTCTAAATCGAAAGAAAAAAACTTCAAAGGAGCTTGCACGCCCGTACCAGACCCACTATCTCGGCGATAGGGCACAGACAAGCGATGTAGAATGTTCCACACGACAGTGGGCGGAGAATCGATAAGTCGCGAACCCTTGGAAACCTTGCCATGCACATTCGAATGGCGAAAGTAAAGCGCTGCTGCGGCTGCGGACGTTGACACCTTGTACAGCGAGAGACATCTATCCGTGAGGTGGGCAGGAATCATGTTATTAACCAGTCCCAGTGGGTTTGGAAGGACGCTAGAGGTTGCCTTAGTGCTGTCTTAGGGAGCCGTAAGATTCGAGGCAAAGTATTCTCTGTGACGATCGGACGTTAGTTTCAGAGTGGTAGAAATTTGACTACATGTTTTCTTTGACCTCTACGTCCTTACGTTGTTAGTTCTCAGAGGGTAGAAATTTTTTTGGCTACATGTTTCTTTTACCTCTCGTTCTTCATTAATGGAACCCATTAACCCCAGAGAAAGGCACGCAGTTTTAGCCAGTAGCTTTCATATACTATGCAAGTAATGTAGTGTGGCTCAAAGGCAGTAGGCACGTTGGCTGGGGGGTGGCGCGGTTACTTCCAACATCATTGGTGGAAACACTGATTGTCGCGTGGCCAACGCTCCTTCGCAGTCCCTCCCGACCAGTGACGCTCGCAGTAACCGCCCCAGCAGTCATGCCCATTGTCTTTGATGAAGCGGGTTACCAAGATGGATTGATGCCCAACAGCGGTACAGCGTCGTATGCTGTGACGTGCGTGGTGTCAGTACGACCCCCCCCTTGAGAAGACCGTGCTCGTACGACCCCCCCCTGATTTAACACTACCTAACAATCCAGTTCCCCCCCCCCCCCCTTTTCCCCCAAAATTTTTCGTCGAGCGAAGAGGCGGGTATACAGCCAATGTGAGACGGGAAAATTCCTACATTTTTCCTCAAATTCCTACCACTTTTTCCGGAATTTCCTCGAATTCTCCTTTTTCTCCCCAAAAATTCGCTGTCGAGCGGGGGGAGGTATATGGTACAAGGAAAAATCACGATAAGTCAACGACCGAGAAAAACTTTATCGCAACGCAGCAAATTCCTCTCAAAGTCACAGACGACCGCCCCCTCCCCAGCCGAAAAGTACGACCCCCTTATGTGTTTCATACAACGATGCTGTACCCTGGATGCCAATAGTCTTCACTTATTGAGAGAAACTGCTTGGTAGAGCCGAGAAAATAGGTACGAAAGAGGAGAAGTGGGGTCGGCATTTCCGGGATAAAAACCTACGGTCAGGCAACTTTCTGGATAAGGTTAAAATTACAAGTTCCCGGGCTTTCTAACTTTTTGAACGACTTGATGATCATCCTATTTAACTGATAAATTGAGCAACCAAAATCGCGTAGAACTGAGTCTTTTAGTACCCTTGGCAGGTAGAAAATGCGGCGCAGTTCGGTTTGGTGTGGGTACTAAATGTTGATCAGTTAAGATTGCAAATATAAACTTGTGAAGACCTGTTAACGTCTGTAACCAAAGTTGCTCAATAGTACCACTTCGCGTTTACAAGATTTTACGGGTCCACTTGGGTGGAACCTGTTAGGTGACAGGAGCTAACAAAATGAGTGAGCGGAACTGCAATATGCCCCTCCCATCTGAGCCAAACAGCGCCGAAAACTCCATATTAAAAAAAGGACATTGGACACTGCAACACAGATTCTAACAAAAATCAAATCGATAGACCGATCGGAGAGCGGTATTGGTTGACGAACACTGTCTAGAAGAGGTTCAAAGAGGCGTTCATGTCTTGTGAGATGGAGATGAACTACGAACGACAGAATCGATTCCGTCACTCGTCTCTCTTGGCATCTGTTATCTGCTGTGTGTGTTGCCGGCCATCGCAACTGTTAGCTGCTCGTGTCAAAACAGTTGTCACGTGAACTGAATAACCTCGAAACACGGCATTTTAATCAAGTTGTTAGAAAGCTGTTATAGTCATGTGACATAACCCATAACCCACGAGAAGCCCACCTATTTATAGCCATTATGGGGAGGTCAGAGAGAACGAAAGTTGCCATTTTATGTCTGCCTGATTGTCTAATGTAACCTTGTCATTCTCTACGAAGATGTACAAATCCTCCTCGATCGTGATCAGATACGTCTCCTTGTGGTTACATGCGTGACCCGAGACAGGTCGATATCTTAGTTGGCTGAGAAAACGCGTGCACTCAGCGTGGATGTTCCGCGTTCGCCCCAATTGTTCTTCTTGACCCACATCCTCCTTCATTCGTTTCGTAACTTTTATCTAACCGTAAGCTGCTCACGTAACGCTTCAGAGTACCAGATGTCAATGAGAAGGGAAGCGCATTGGAGGCGTTTGTCTCCGCCCCATGCCGATTAAGGCTGCGGAACATCCTTTTTAAGGTCGTCCTTCTAAGTTAAGGTTACTCGGCTTTCAGATGCGCCATGCACTCAACTAAAACCAACTCTTACTTCTTGTAAGACTTCGTACCTCCTGTTAAGCGTATAGTCGACAGAGATGCAGATATAATCCATCTGAATTGTTAAGATGTCGTAGAATGATGAACTATAAAGGTTTTTCTGCCCATTGGCGTAGGGAGTGATTTTGCCAACTTCGCTAGTTCCACTCGGTCTCCTGAATTACGCGTTCACTTATTTGGGTAAGACTTGTACGAACGTCTTGTCTAGTGAGAACGATACTCCGCTCTTATACCTTTATAGAGTTTACAGTTTCGCGGAGCATCGGTAAATGATCGATAAAACCAGAAGAAATGCCCTCTAAGCCAACTGTGCTTTTGGCTATATCACATACACTTCGTAATATCGTTTAAAAATACTTATTATAATTAATAAGGTAAGAAAATACTGAATATCACAAGTAATGCACGTTTCTCAACACCGAGTGTCATTTCAATAATAATAATAATAATAATTGCACGAAATTCTCCGCGGCAGTACATGGAACAATGGGCAAAAGACAATAGCCGGCAATGAAGGCTACGTTCATACTTGGCAAACTTCCAGCAGCGAGCAGCAGCTGGCTGGAAAGTCGCCTTGTATAAACGGAACATAAGACATCACATGTTGTCGGAATGGGAGCGAGCGTCGGTATACTCGGAGACCATTAACAATGTATTAATAATAGAACAATTGAAGCTGTTAGAAGGGTTACTGTATAATTACGGTAATATTTATAATAATTCGGAATAGATGAGTTATTCAATAAACGCTGTACCGGTTATTGGATTATGTACGTATTAGTCATATAGTGGTCATTAATTAGGCATGATTAAGGCATCTGTCAGGAGGCTGCATATGCTGTCAGCGAACTAAAACCCATCCATCTTCGTAAAACATATGTATTGATTGCAGCCCAGCGTCGTCGCCGACGTTGGCGTTCACTGTCGATCTGCGCTTCCTCTGTGAGTGCACTTTGGCGTTCTCTGCCAATCTGCGCCCCTCTGAGAAAACACTATCTCGTTAGCAGCCAAACAGTGCTGGCAAGACGCTTGGCTGCCACCACGCCGAGCATACACAACCTATGGTAGCGCGAGCAAGAAGAAAATGTTCTATAACGAACATTACACGATGATATATCGATATGGATATAGTGAAATACACGGCGTATTACAAAGGTGACGTCATCGTCGAATGACGTCACTTTCTCACGCTGCCGGCGGCAAGAAAGGCGTGGCGAGTAGTGTGGCAGACGGTTGGTCCTTCACCGTTTGACCTTTTCATCACAGATTATAAGGAGGTAAAAATTTGTACACAAGTCGTTGCTTCTTTTCTGGCTTTTGGATGATTCCTAGGATAGAATAAATAATCAATAATCGAGCAGTGTCGTCAACGATCAGTAATCGATCACTATCGATCGATAAGAATCACGAACCTTTTTTGTAGTATTGTCGAAGGCTCCGTGAAAGTTTGTCGTAATTCATCTGGGCACGGTTCTTTCGCTGTCCCCAGAATCTCGCCAAATGATGGGAGGACTCGATTTTAAAGGTTCCTGAAATACCGTACTTCCTTCGAAACTAATCGATAATCGGTTTTGAATGGGTCGTAACTAATCGATAATTGATTTTTGGGTGAGTCGCAACTATCGATAATCGATTTTTTAGGTGAGTGGAAATTAAGCGACAGTTTTTCTGGGTGAACCGTGGCTAATCGATAACTGGTTTTTGGGTGGGTCGTAACTAACCGACAGCTGATTTTTCGGGTGAACCGTGGCTGATCGATAATTGATGCTTGGGTGAATCGTAGCTAATCTGTTATTGATATTCTTGTGAATCGTAACTTACTGACATCTGATTTTTGGGTGAGCCGTGGCCAATCGATGATTGATTTTTGAGTGGGTCACAACTAACCGACAGCTGATTTTCCGGGGGAACGTGGCTAATCGATAATTGATGCTTGGGTGAATCGTAGCTAATCTGTTATTGATTTTCTTGTGAATCGTAAATTACTGACATCTGATTTTGGGTGAGCCGTGGCCAATTGATGATTGTTTTTGAGTGAGTCGTAAAATTAGCGATAACTGTTTTTTTAGTAAGCCGCGACTAATCAATAATTGATTTTTGGGAGGTCGTGGCTAACTCACCTTCATCTCGATCCACCCAACGTACACATGATCCATACTGTTTGTTAGGATGATCCAGTAATTCACGAATGAAATGCCATAGGTGTACGGTGCCGGAGTGTCGTGGGAACGGTGATGGGCGTTGCTCTTCGGTGGGCGGAGTTTGGGTATTGTTCATGCTGAAACCGATCGATAATTGATCGAAAACCAAGGGAAAACTGTTGTTGGTCTCACTCCATTCCGTTCATTTGACCGCAAAATCGCATCCCATCTTGCTGCATTTGTAGCATACTTTGCAAATCGATACATTCATCATCACCCACTGAATCAATAAATCGATAAGTTGGTATTTCAGGGGGAAATGGGCTATATTGACTCACTATCATGCATACTTGCATTACTGCTTCTATCGCTGTCACTTGGCGAGGGAAGGACACCATTACCGAAAAAGGTGTGGCTATCTTGTGCTCCGCCTCCGATCGCGCCTGCAGTAGGAGTTTGTTTATGGGAGGTCTTGCAGCGATCATTCTGATTACGGTAGCTCGTACCGTTGTTGAAATAGTGCTGCTGATGAATATCGGTGGGATGATACTGCTGTACAAAATCCGGTCGTGCGACGTTGTTCTTAATCGGCTCAGGGCCGATCATCGTTTGGCCGCCGGCGGTCATCTGAAGCCATCAATCATATCAATCGGTTTACCCAGGGTAATCGGTTGATGGATAGGTTACCCAGTTGTTCTTTGGCATCGAGTTATCGGCAGCTGTAATACCGCCGTTACTCTGGCCGCCGGTTTGTTGTTGCTGGTGATAGGACTCGAACGCTAAACGAACGAGTCATGAGGAGGGCTCTATGCTTGGTTTTATGGCATCTAGGCTGTTCAGCAAGAATGGTCAAATCTGGCCAAACTCGGGATTTCACAAAGCCTGTCCCATAAATCGTGCATAAAATCGTGCATAATCATTCATCGAAAGCCTATGGCGCGATATGTGCACGTTCGTTCTTCTAAAAGTAATACTGGCGCTTTTGCAATGCGTGCGCGATTTATGAGACTAGCACGCGTACTACTGTTGCCTGACCGGTTTTCCATAGTTGTAGTTGAGCGTAGAGTGTGTCACCGCCCTCAGGTGCTAGCGCTACAAAGTCCTTCTGTGTCATACTGAGCAGTACACGGCCACTCAAATACGTTTGACGTGGTGGTGTTAGGCTGAACTGTTGGCACATCTCCGAAATCCAACGTGAACCATGCTCCTGGGTCCAATTCTGGGCATCTGAAAGTAGCAGATTGCAATAGAGAAAAATCATAGAACTTGCACGCTATATTGATTAAGCGCGACATCTAGCTCCCGTATGATGTGCCATTGTGGGTTAGGTCACGTGTTTGCGAGAATTTGAGCGTAGTTCGGCTTGGAGGGGGCATCAAAGGGTACTCATTGGATGGCAACTAAACTTGTACAGCCCACCTCGTGAAGACGTGTAAGTTCTTGTGACGGAAATAGCTTACTGGCACTATTTCGCACCTTCACAGGAGTTTACAGGTCCGAAATGTAGTACCTGTTAGTTTACACAAGCCAAGAAAAGAGTGTATCGAAAGTGCAAAACGCAAAATTGAAAAATCGATAAATTGGTATTCAGGGGTGAATGGGCTATATTGACTCACTATCATGCCTTCCAAGCCAAACAGCGCCAGAACCTGCACGGCCACCGCGTCACTAAGCTTGGGTTGTGGGGTATGCTATCCAAGTACGTTTCAACGTCTTGCATGGGATATGGGTTACATCATATGAATGTGCGGACACTAGAAACTTTTGTGTGACAAGCTGCTGACAAAAAATGAGTACCGCGCTCAAATCACTGTTCCTTCATTATGTCCTGAACTAATGCTTCGCAACACATAAGTATGGGAGTGTACGTGATATTCATTTGTGCCTACGTGACAACTTGGTGACAAAGAATAAGTACTGTGTTGAGCGACAATTTACCGTACGGCCGCTATGCCTTCAGTGGGTTATGCTATCATAGCACGCAACACGTTTTGCGTGGGTTCATGGGTTGCGTACTATAAGCGTGCGAATGTCCACGAAATTAATTTCCTTCTACGTGACAACTTGGTGACAAAGAACATGTACTGCGTTTAGCGACAAATTTAGCGTGTTTTATTATATTTTAGGTTATGGGTTACATTACATGGGTGTTCGGATGTTCATGAAAAATCGTTTCGTGTGCACTTGAGAGCACGGTAATAGAACCCCCCATCCGTGTCACGTTGTAGCGTTTCTCCACCATTTTCGCATGCGTTATGTTGTGCGGGTGAATTCTCGAATCGTAGAAACTTATTTAAGGCCACTCCCCTTGAACTTTTGACGTTTTGGTGGCGTATCGGTAAAGGGAGCAAAAGGAACGGGAATGGATGACGTCTTAAAAAATGCGCATGGCCAAAAAGGTAGAATATGGGGGCGCTATTTGCCTAGCTAGCACCACTCAGGGCTGAGCCACGTCATGCCTACTCGTCTGCACCCTCTCACCGAGACAGCGCGACACGCTATGCTTATTCAACATCTGACTATGTCACCCTCTTACCTACACAACATGTGGCTCTGTCATGACAGAACTTGACATGGCTACTCCTAGCAGAAGAGTGGCCCCTTCTGAGGCACATAGCGCCGATTTGGGTGAGGGGGAATTTTGTATGCGTGTATGACAGCTCATACAGAATCACAGAGTTTTGTCCTATTTCTTTGAATAACATAAAAAGTCTTGGGTGCCCTTGTCGGGGTCTATTTGTCAAGCGCGTTTCGTTTACTTCCGGGTAGCACGGGTGGGCGCTGCCGCTGCAAACAATTTCTATAAGCTCAAAGAGTAAAGAGAAAGCAGCCAGCACTCAATCTTCAAAGAGTGCGCCCTAATGGCATGCCATCTTCCCCGAACTCAGCACTTACCTGTTGGCAAACCTAATTTGGCGCAAGTGGTGCTAATGTCCTGGATAAGATGTCTAAGTATCAGATCTCTGAAATCACTTTGATATGAATCTGGTAGCTAATCGATAAATCAATACTGACACACCTGTAGATGTCCATTTGTTGGGCGTCGACACAGGCGTTTCCATTCTGGCATGTTGCGGGAGCGTTATCGGGAGCTACACAAGTGGTGTTTGTGGTGGCCGTGGAGTTCACGAACGGAGACGTGCCAAATCCACCATAGATCTCTAAACAATCGATAACTGGGTAGAGTGTAGAGCAGTGCACGTCGTACATTGGAATCCCGAGCAGAGGTGGGGAGGGTCATATTTGGTTGGTGAAGGGCCTTATTGCTTCTGGGATAGATGCTTTCGTTTTTTTTTGGCTTTTCCCATTTCGCTGGCGCTATGCCCCTCCCCCCACACCTCGTCACGGTATTTCGTAGCTTTCGGGAATAACTGGAAATCTTCCTGGGAGAAGTAGGAGGTCTGAGGGAATCGGGGAGATGGTAAGTAAGGTGGGTGAAGGGGGGTCGTACCAGAGGGAGATCTTTTGAGAAAGGTCGTGTTTAGCAGAATTTTCCCAACCGCAGGACGTGCCCTGGTGCAGAGACGTTGATGGGTCATGGTTGAAGAGAAACGCAGAGACTTGGGCTTTGTTTCCACCCTCTTCGGATGCGCCATGCATTTAACTGCTACTGGAAACCGTAGTGGCATTTTGAAGGATTCAGCCCACGTGGTGCCTTGCGAAGACCATCCGATGTATAAGTGGATGCTTTTATCCCGGCAAACGAGTGTGCTACAGTTCCAGCAGCCCCAGAAAGGTGGGAGGCTTAATTGGCTTGTGCGGGAGCCGATCCAGGATTAGACCCGCGGGTCTCGTGCGTGGTAAGGGACACCACTAATCACTACACCATGTCCATGCCATGGTCACGTCCTGGCTTTGACAGGGGTGTTATTGCAGTGCTTGCTTCCCTTAGGAGCTCCCAGGTCTTCAAAGTTCAGGGGTTCACGAAAGGTAGGGGGGGGTGAAGAGTATTAGCTGAGGATCTAAGTGTGAAAGGTGGTTGATAATTAATTCTTCTAGGAGAAGTTGTAGAGGTATCTACAGGATAACATAAGCCGTACGTAGAATCCTTAGGTAGGATCGTATATGAGTCATTCGGAGAGTGGTTGTCCGACGGCACTGACGTGGGAGATTCTTCTTGGGACAAAAAAATGTCGCCATTACTGTCGCCTCGGCGATCTTTCATGAGGGTCGTTCTTGAGAACGTGCATAGGTAAAGCTGAAGGGTTGTACTTGAGGCGATGGAGGCTTTGAGGGCTGATTTCGACCTGATGCTCTGGTCTACCCAAATCTGAGTGCACACCACTCCTTATTCCATAGTGTGTGTTGACGATGTTTGCGCCAATATTTTTGCTTTTTCCGTCTTGTATGGGGTAGAACACTTCGTGGGCTATGCGTTCTTGTCCTTCCCTCCTGCATATCTCGAAACAGCCCCGTTTTGCCAGTTTGTACGTACAAGGTACAGCATCAAGGAGAAATGATGGTGTTGCCAGTAGCCCCCTCCCCATTCCACCTATCATCTCCGAGAATTCCCCCAACTTCCTACCACTTTACCCCTCCTTTCCGAAATTTGAAGTTTTGTTTTGGGGTTGTGAAGCATAACCGCGCATGTGAAACTGGAGAAAATGTGAAAAGTGAACAACTGGGAAGAGTTTTTTTATGGATTGAAAAGATTCTCTCATAGCCACATATGATCCCCACCAACCAAATATGACCCCTTTCGAACAAGTGCGATTTAGCGAAGGAATTCCCCTTATGATGGTGTACCCTGTGTGGACAGAGCTACGTCTGTCGTAAAGCAAGTACAAGGAATTAATCGTCACGGGTCTCTTTGGTCAAGTAATCAAACTGAAACGGGAAAAAATCTTCAAGTGCCACGCGGGGATGTTCTTTCTAACGATAAGTGCACTCGGATTCGTTTGAGCACAGAGACAACGGTGAAATAGTCGAGCTCCTGCTTATTAGCCTCATGTGCCGTGCTCCTGACTTTTCTATGGACATAGGCAGTGATGTCGAAGTCAGCGATTCTATCCCCCGATAAATCAGAACAGGGTATTATATGGTCGGGGATTCTCGAGGGCTAGAAAGGGGAAGGGGGATTGTATTTGGCTAGATGAAAGAGTTTACAGTGATGTCAAAGGGTGTGCCAAACATGCAACTTCAAGGGAGATTGAATAGAGTTTTTGTTTTCCCTACAGTATGCCTCCCCTATACCACAAGAGACAAGTATTTTCCGTTGAGGTGAAATTGGAGGCGAAGATAGAGAAGAGGCGGGTGAGCTCCGACTCACAGGCTGAAGGAGGTCCCGCTAAGGAAGACGGCTCAGAGGGTGCTTATGCTAGAGGACCAGATTTTCTCATAGGTGTACTGTACTAGGATTGGATGATGGCAGGGCACATGATGGCAGGGCACATCATTGGTTGGGTTGGGGATTTTAGTCGAGTCTGTACGACCTCGCCCCTTTTTTTGAGCGTTGGTACGACCCCCCTTCCCCTCCAGCACTCTGTCCCTCCTTATCGAATCGAGCCGTCGAGCGGGGGGGGTGTAAATAGCACATGTGAAATGAAAAAAAAGCCGCGAGACAATACGACCCCTCCCCACCTTCTACCTATTCTCAGATTTTTCCAACTTCTCCAATTTTACCCAACTTGCTGCCACTTTTTCCCCACTTCCCTATTTTTTCCCAAAAATTTTGCTGTCGAGCAGGGAGGATGGGAGGATATAGTACGCATGAAAAAGGAAAATCACGAAAAGTCAAAAAGTCAACCACCGCTCCTAGAAAGGTCAGAAAGTATAATATTATAATACGACTCCCTCCTTCTCCTAGGCGGCCAAATACTACCCCCTGTTGGGATTCCCAACAGTGCCTGCGGGCGGCAGGGCAGTTGTATAACACGCGTGGAACGAAAAAATCGCGAAAAGTTGAGGACCAAAGTAAGATTTTCTCAGAAAAATTCTCTGAAAGCCGTGTACGACATCACTCAACTCACAAATACAACATACAACCACCCCTGCCCACCGTCCAGTTACGTCCACCTTATCAGATCTCTCAGGATGGTGTCCCCGCTTATGAATTTCATACAAGCTCCTATAATCCTTCAATCCTTCCAATATAACCCTTCAATCCTTCAAGTGCCCAATCCCTTGTGGCTTTCCCTCATTCCCTCCTAATGGGCGATGAATGAAACGAGGGAAAGCGTCGAGTCGTTCGCGTGGACACGTCCAAGTAATATCCTGATTCTTTGGACAACTTTTTGCAGAGCGGCCGTGCACGGCGACCGACTCGTCTCGCTGTCGTTCGGGAGAAATGAGACCGGTTCGGACCCCACGCCGGCGATGTGACCGGTTTTGCTGCGTGGCCGGCCTGCGCACACGGGCGACGTGAATGAGATCGGGATCGGCGACAAAAAAAGAACCAGTGACCGGGTCACGACAAAACTGGTAGACGAGTAGCCTCACGGCTGCGTCAGCGATACGGTAGTTTCGTACATTTCATCGTTATTTAGGTGTGCTGGGGTGGTTGATGGAATTTTAGTGCTTGGGGACTCCTTATGTGGGGGCATATGAATCTTAAAGGACATCGGAATTTTATATGACGAAATAGAAAATTCGAGCTTTGGCATGCTCACCTTCGCCAGCCTCCGTTTTGACAGTGTCATTCATGCCGTTGAAATTGATTGTCTCTTGGACCTGAAAAATTTGGCCCTTTAAATCTGTAGATAGACTGGTAGGCTGTTTTTAGGTTGAAATCTCCTCTGGAAGTGGGAGTTGAAAGGTTACTGATGTGGTCCCATTCATATTTAAAGAAGGCGAAACAGTAGAGTTCTAAATGCCACTGCTAAGACATTTTCCAAGCGCGATTGCACCAGTGTCGTCTGCGTCTCTGTCTACAGTCCTTTGTTTCTCTGTACTCTAGCTTAACCTAACTCTTTCAAAACCTAAAGGATAAAGTGGTGTGGGGCAAACTTCCCGTACAACCTATTCGCTTTGAATTTCTGAGAATGCCTTCGTCATTGTGGCGTCCCTTTACCTTAATCCTAATTTAGTCGTTTTCCTCTGCATCTCTGCTGACTGGTCCCAGATTCTCTGCGCTCTAGATGGTACTAGCTCTATTGAAATACGTGATTCCGAAAAGGCACTGAAAAACGCCTACAGTACTGCCCAGCCGGGTTGCTGTGCCCTCACGTCCGCTTTCTCCACACACTGGCCCGACAATAAACGTTATTTTATCCATTCTCCTCTGCATCTCTGCGAACGGACCCCTGCTTCTCTGCACTCTAGGCAGTCCTAGCTTAGTGAAAATGTTAAATTTCGCATGGAACATTGCTGAGGCTCACACAATGCACCTTCAAATCCAGTCTGCCGGCCACTTTCACTTCAAGGTAGACTATGTCGTCCTTTTTTCTGCGTCTTTGTTGGTCTGACCCTGTTTTTTTTTGGGCTCTAGTTGGCCCTAACTCATACGAAAACGTGAGAAATGTGCGTATGACATTGGCTGCCCTTTTACACAACCCACTCCATAGATTGGGATGGTTCCTTTTCGGCTTCCATGAGGCAGTTGTCTTGGTGGGGGCACCGGAGGTTCCAAGCTAAGCCTGCGCAGGCCACCTTGTGAAGACCTGTGAGAGCAGGGGGTCTCACGCGGACAACTTTGCAGCTTTACAAGAGTTTGTAGGTCTCACCAAAGGGGAAACCTGCTAGTTAACATAAACTATTAGAAAGAACTAGCGAAAGTGCAAGATGCCCCCCCCTCAGCCTTATAGCGCCGGCGTCCATTTATCACCACGGAGCTGTTTCAGCGGGGGGACATCGTAGCCATGGGACCAAATAGTCGCTCAACATGACCCGCCCGTGCCCTCCTCAAGTAGATCCCTTTCAATCTCAGGAGAGTGTGGAGGGGTAAGCGGCATCAGAAGCGGGGAGAACGGTACGATTCTCTTTCTCTGCCGGAATTTCCACAAACTTCCGCCCCCTAGGTCAACTCCTTTTTCCTTTGTGTCTGCTGCGTGACCCCCTCTGCGCTCTGGTCTATCCCAACTCCTTCCAGATGAGGAAGAATTTGAATCGACCATCATAAAGGCCCTTGTAGCGTCGAGTGCCAACGTCTTCAACCCATTTCGTCCTACATTTTCCATTTCAACGATTGCCGTTTTCTTCCCCCCTTTAATTTGTCAGCGCCGGAGATTTCTCCCATTGTCGGCGACGACGACGAACATGAACCGGGCGCCATTAGTGACCACTGGCCGCGGCCGCCGTAGCCACCTAGTGTGGAGGCCTTTCTTTGGCCGCCGCCGGTACGACCGAACGCGCGTAAGTGAAACCCGTTCAAAGCGTACTAGGTGTGAAAAAACCATGAGTCAGGCCAGTCTTCTTTTAACGATTGAATCCCCCTACGAGAAACCGGATCCACGACGAGATTATTCATGTAATTCGCATAGAACTTCAAAGATGGCCAAGATATGGCGCCGACAGTCGTGGGCGGGAACTACGCAGTCAAACCCGGATGGGAGATCCGGCTCAGGAGGTAGTCGTTCGGGAAGCTGGAAGTCTAGAAGTTTTCTTTGACAGGTAATTCTCAGGGACGCTACTTTTCGACCTTATCGGAAATCGGAATTCCGTCCTAGGGAGCACCAAGTGAATGTGAGAAGCTTTTCTCCTCCACAATCCCTCCCCCTCCACTGTCTCGTTGTGTTAAATTCTCGCTGAATACGACAACTCGCCATTTTACCCACAGAATTTTCGGTACAGTTCGGCTTGGTGGGGGCACCGAAGGGTACCCAGCGAGGCTGGCTTAACAACGCACTTTCTGAAAACTGTGAATTCCTGTAACTAAAGTGGCTCACTTTCACCACTGTGCAGCTTCACAAAAGCTTACAGGAATTTAGCTGTTAGTCAACATGTAACAGGAAAACGAACGAATAGGCTTGATACCCCCTGCAAACCGAACAGTGCCAAAATTTTCTCTCCGCTGCGACCCATTCACTGCTCATCTATCAACTTACCAACTTTTGCAGAAATTATGGTAGATACCCCCGATCACGTGTCAGATATAGTAGTTTTCCCGCGCTTCTAATGAGAGGGGGGAGGGGGAGGGTAAAGAGCGCGTGAAACGGGAAAAAAATCAAGAATAGTCAAGTTCTTCTGAAGGTCAAATTGGTCTTCTCCCCAGCTGCCGAAGGAGACCCTGGTATGTTTTATATGAAGAGATTTGTCTGCTTCCCTTTTCCCACTCACAAACATCGTCTTCTCCGGTGCCGCCCTCAAACTCTAGGCAGGGAAGGGAGGGGGGGGGGCGCAATATGCCCAGCGCGCTTAGAACGGGATAATAGCAGTGAATAAGAGCTTTAAAGGGTCAAAAAGCTCAAGTATGACTCTTAATCGCGAGGGACCCGAATAAGACCTCCTAAGTATGGATTTGAGTGCAGTGATGTTGAAGCCACGAGAGATGAAGCAGAGGTAAACTGGTGATAAAGCGATGTCAAGCTTCACCAACGTGGCAAGCTCTTAGATTTGTTTCAAAAGGTCAAAAAAGGATAAAGGCCTCTTGGGCCATGATTATGAGAACGCTGTAGAACCGAAAGTAACACTGGACAAGTGATCGAGAGGGGGGGGGACTTGCCATGTTATCACTGCAGTGATAACCTTTGATGGACATTGCTCAAACCAGGTTTTTTGTGAGGGATTCCCGTGTCGAATGATTTCATTGACGTCAATTTCGTGAGAAAAAGTCCAGATAAAATTCAGCGGTATGTACTTCTGGGTCCTGTTGAAGTGGTCGTTCTTTGGGGCAAGATGGACTGAAACCGTCCCTCTGCGAGTTACTGCTGGTATAGGACTTGTTGGGAAAGGTAGAGCGCTGATGTCCGCAAAAGTGTACGAAAAATACTCATCCAGACAGCTCCACGATTTTAAAGGAAGATTAGGTGCATGGCGTATCCGAAAAAGATTCGTCGGCACCCAGAAATCATTGTTTAGCTAATTCCCCATACCATGATTCCCAGCAGTATTCGTCTTAATGGCTTATCTTTCCGGAGTCCAGGGTGAGGGGACTGATGAACCCGCCTATGGAAGCTCCAGGTACTGTTTGGCTTGGGTCGGGGGCGGGAATAGGGGGCGCATTCTATGCTTCTACTACTTTGTTCTGCTAGATCCTGTGAATTTACACGTCTCAACTAAATGGACTCCTTTCTATTGTGGACGAAGCTTATGGTTTTACATAGCTCGATAGGAGTTATCAGGTCTTCGCAAGGCAAATGCCCCCACGAAGCTGAACTGCGCCGTTTGAGGTTTGCTGCATTTTCGTCTACCTTCAAACAATCACCTTCACATAGGAACGGAAGCAAAAGATCACATCAAAGACAAGATATGCGGGCTGCTGATCAATATCCCTGAGACAAGCCACGAACTCGACTTTGACTCGGAATCGTAGAGCCATTTGTATGCGTATCCTGCCCAGGGACCAACGCACCAGGACCAAGTAGGTAATCTGGGTCCTAGTTGTTCTATTTATCCCTAGCACCATTCAACCGGCTGTAGATAAAGTAAAGATCTGGCCGACTCCAAAGAATTTGATCCTGAAGAGCATTCAAGTGCGACATGGCGCCTTTAACCACTCAACCACTCATACTTCTAGGATAAGGATTCCGGAAAAGGCACAGTTGGGCTTGGTGGGGGTCAAACCAGTAGAGACGTGTAAATCCCAATGGCCAAAGTGGTTCACACGCACCATTTCGCAGCTACACAGGAGTTCATAGATTTCACAATGGTGCTAGTGGCTGCTTTTGAAAACGAACCAGCAAGCGGACCAGTGAAAGTGCAATGTGCCCCCTCCAAGCCGAACAGTGCCCCGGAAAAGTTTGTATTGTCCATAAGAGGCTATGAAGTCCCAGTGGATGGTACTGAAGACAGTCGATTGCAAATAAGCTCCCTTGAACGGTACACAAAAGCCTGCCATCAAGGAGATCGAACTCACACTTTGGTTCGAACCAGGGGGACCATCTACAACTTACCCAAACTTGGACTATATTCCCTTTTCTTATCGATTATTTCTATTTGTTAAACGATGATTTTACTTGATAACGGGCTGAGCTGTGTATGCACTGACCTTCATCGACGGCTTTTTACAGAAAGCCGTCTGAAGCGACGCGGCCGCTGCGTCGGACGTCGCCGTCGGCACCGCTTTTGGCTTGGCGAACATCACGTCATCAGCTCGTGACTGTCGCTGTTGCTACAAAGAATCCCCTCTTAATCACGACCAAAAATCATTTCGCTCAAACGTTGCGTCAATGGTACTGATAACGCTTTAGTAAGTGCCGATTCGGCTAGTTTCAACAGTAAAAGCACCTGAGCATGGCACAAATAAAGATTGATCGTTATTGATTACCTTATCGATGTCGAACATATCGTCGTCCAGTGGGAATTCGCTTTTCACTTGAGTATAGACGCTTGCGTCATCGGATTGACCACCGGGACTGATCGGTGGCCATCCGTAGGCTGTTTTATCACATGCACCGATGTCGTTCATCTGTAATGAAAAGCTTGAGATCCTCAAGGGTCAATTGGTCCTAATGGTGAGATGTATCACTCCTGCTTTGCACGGGCTTTATTCTACCCTCCCCCCACCCCCCCCTTTAGTTATTTTACTTCGGCTTCTACACTGCATA